ACTTGCTCTTGAATGTAGAGTAACTAAAGAAATTGGAAGAAATGAAGCAAAAGGGTTGAGCAGAAAACTTCAAAGGGAAGCTCCAGGAGACAAAGTAAAATATTATAATGAAAGCCAAAAAAAATAAAACATCCAGCATAATTCAAGCTGAAAAAATATTAAGTAAAAACCAAACTGGAATTGTAATATTGAAAGATTCTATGGAAAAATATTGAACAATATAGAAAACATCTAAAAAATTAGAAGAAATACATGAAGACATTTACCAGAATTGGTCCATGGTCAACTATTTCAGGAAGTAGCATATAATGAAGAATCCATGGGATTGAAGGAAACAGTCCAAGCCACACTGAAGGCATTATGGAAAAATAAGAATCCAGGAATTATGTAATGCCAATTGAAATGTTTTAGCACTTTGATGGAGCACTGGCACCACTCACCGATGACAAGAAATCTGGAAGACAGCTACCTAGCCAGCTGACTGGGAGAGATCTATATTTATACCCATTCCAAAGAAAAGTGACCCAACAGAATGTAGAAATTATTAAACAGTATCATTAATATCACATACAAGTAAAGTATAATAGAAGATCATTCAACAGAGGTTATAGTAAGCTGCCAAAATGTCAAATCAGATTCAGACCTGGAAGTGCGATGAGGAATAATATTACTCAGATGGATCTTAACTGAAAGCAGAAAGGAGATGGATTGACACAGTCGCTCCAACTATGGGCTTAATCATAACAGTTGTGAGGATGGTGCAAGACGAAGAGGGTTTCATTCTCTTATATCTAGGGTCCCTGCGAGTCAGAGTTAACTTGAAAGCATACAACAAGAGGTATAGATCTATACCTTACAAATATACATGTGAAACCTGCTTCCAGTTCTCAGATTTTAAAAAATTGCAGGTTATCAACATCTCAGAATCATTTAGTCTTATGGCCCATTCTAATCACAACCCGTCACCAAAGGTAACTACTACGGTCCTCATCCTGACACTTAGTACCATATGTGAATTTTCTGCTTTGATATAAGTATCTTATTTTGTAAGATAATAAGTGTTGAGAGAACATAAGCGTAAGCGAAATTTATTTACACATTGTATAGCTATAGTTCATCGATTCTCATACTATGAATCCGCCATCAGTTTGTGTTTTTCTAAATATTTCTGTTAAAACATTCTTGTATATGTCTTGCAGTCAACCTATGTGTATAATTATGTTGAATAGAATAGAATCAGAATATTGTCAGAGATCGTGCCAAAAGACAAGTCTCTCAAATCAGAAGGCACTCAAAATATGACTGCGGATGGGCTGCTTTCTCAGAGTTGAACATAATGATGTGGATGGAGTAAAGCCTACAAGAGGGGAAAGCATTCAGGACATTCATTTGCTTATTGGTCATCACTCAAAATGAGAAAAAGCACTTCTAATTTTTCTAGATTCATACTTGGTACATTCCAAGTTTCAATTATTAATTGATGTTTGTAGCTATTTCTGCTCATTTTGAGTCATACTCCATCAGCAAAGTAGTTGGAAGTTCTTAAAAATGAAATGGAACACTGGTATTGACCATTTTGAATCAGAAAACCATATGATTTACTCAGCTGGGAATGACAAAATCAAGAGCAATGATATTGCGTTCATCATCATAAAGGACATTGCCAGATCTATCATGCAGTACAATACTGTCTGTGATGGGATTATCTCTATGTTCTTTCAAGGAAACCCAATGAATAAAATTTTTTATTATTTGTATAAATACAAGTGTTTATTATTCAAATGTATCCATGAACCACTGAAACTAGTGATGAAGAAATTGAAGAATTCTACTAATGAAATTGATTGAGCATGCAATCAAGATGAATTAATAACTATCATTGACTGGAATGCAAAAGTTGGAAACAAAAAGAAGGAATAGTAGTTGAAAATATGGTCTCAATGGTAAAAATGAAGCTGGCGATCACGTGATAGAATTTTGCAAGACCAATGACTTGTTCATAGAAAATACCTTTTTCAACAACATTGTAAGTGACTATACGCATATACTTCTCCAGAAGGAGTACACAGAAATCAAGCTGTCTACATTCATGGGAAGTGACAGTGGAGAAGCTCAATTAATATCAGCAGCTAAAACCAGACCAGATGGGAGTAAAATTTTGCTGAAGATCATGCAACAACGGTTGCAGCAGTTAATTGACAAAAGACTGCCAGAGATTCAATGGGATTCAGAAAAGGATGTGCGACAAGGGATATTACTGCTGACATCAGATGGATCTTGGTTCAAAGCACAGAATACCAGAAAGAGGTTTAGTTGTGTTTTATTAACTACGTAATGCATTCGACTGTGTGGATCACAACAAACTATGCCTTCTTTCTCCCTTGAGACAAATAGGAATTACTGAACACTTAATTGTGCTCATGTAGAAACCGTACATGAATCAAGAGGCAACTGAGCAAATAGAACAAATAAATATTGCATGATTTAAAATCACAAAAAGTGTGTGTCAGGTTGTAGCCTCTCCCCAAACGTATTTGATGTTTATGTTATATATATATATACACATATGTATAAGTATACATATGTATAAATACATATATATTTATTAGCATCTGGTTTTGTTTCTCTAGAGAACCCTGTCTAACACAGGGTACAGAATTACATCAACAGGAAACTGGCAGAAATTCAAGCTAGATCTGGAAAGGTGAGATTCAGAAGTTTTGTTGTTATGAGGTGGCAGTAAATTGGCTTCAATTCATAGCAACTCTATGTACAGCAGAAGAAAACACTGTCTGGTCCTGTAACATCCTCACCATTGTTGCACTGGAATCCGTTGTTGTAGGTACTGTATCCATCCAGCTTGTCAAGCATCTTGCTCTTTCATCAGCTTCTATTTTACCAACCAGGATATCCTTTTCAAGGGACTAATCTTTCCCTGGTGGTAGAGTGGGCTAACCTATCAGGCACTACTCCCATAAAGATTGACAATCTCAGAAACTCAAAGGAGCAGTTCTCCTCTGCCCTATCTGGTGGCTTTGAACAAGAACTGACGAGCTGGCAGTGAGGTTGAGATTTTGCATCTCCAGTGGTAACATGTTGGAACTACATGAGATGGAGTCTTGTCATCCTCACTTCCGAAGAGCATTCTGGCTGTACTTCTTCCAAGACAGATTCCTTTGTTCTACTGCCAGTTCATGGTACTTTCGATATCTTTCATCAGCACCATAGTTCCAATGCATCTATTCTCCTTCAATCTTTCTTATTCAATGCCCAAATTTCACATGAATATGACGTGATTAAACATGCCTGGCCTCCATCAAGCACACTTTGTCCTCAAAGTGACATCCTTGCTCTTTGACACTTTAAAGAGGTCTTGCATAACAGATATCTCCAATGCAAAGTGATGTTTGAGTCTTTCCATGAGCACTGATTCTGGATTCAAGTAAGAAGAAATCATCAATGACTTTGATCTCTTCTCCGTTTATCATGATATTGTCTATTTATCCAGTTGTGAGGATTTTGGTCTTCTTTACATTGAGTTGTAATCCCTACTGAAGGCTGCAATTCTTGATCTTCATCAGCAAGTGATTCAATAACTCTTTGTTTTCAGTAAGCAAGTTTGTGTCATCTGCAGATGTACAGGAGCAAACAGAGTGGGAGGAAGTGGGAGTGGAGCATATCCTGGCCCACCAAGCCTTGAGGATGACATCCTTGCTCAGAGCAGCCAATGCACAGAGAGGACCATATAGCCAGCCCCGCAATAAGACACTGCATCCCTCACTGACGCATAGCACTACAGGGGACAACAATGGAGACACAGTGCAGGAATTGTGCCTGATCTGACCCTACCACACTGAGGCAAAACACTAAGGGTGTGCAACAGAACAGCAAGGGGAGCAGAGCAAGGAAGTCCCAGGGTATAACAAAAATATACTTTGGGGCCAGGGTGTGGCATCCCATCAGATTTAACCAGAAAACACTCCTAAAAGTCAACAAACAGACCTTGAACTATTTACAGGCTTTCTTTTTTTTTGGTTGTTATTTTGTTTTCTTTTGATGCTTTGTTTTGCTCTGTCTTGTTTTTTGTGCATATTATTATCTCTGCAGGTTCATCTAAATAAGATAAATAGTTTAAACAATCTGGAGGAGAAAACAATGGGACCGATGCTTCGGGGGGGGGGGGGGACATGGGAGAGGGGCAGGCAGAGGCCAGGAAGTAGGTGTTAACAAACCCAGGTGCAAGGCAACAACAAGTAATCAAAATTGATGGTGAGGAGGGTGTAGGAGGTCTATAGGGCTTGTTCAAGGGCAATGTAACCGAGAGGAATTACTGAAACCCAGATGAAGGCTGAGCATGATAGTGGGACAAGAGGAAAGTACAAGGAAACAGAAGAAAGAACTAGGAGGCAAAGAGTATTTATAGAGGTCTAAATACAGGCATGTACATATGTAAGTATATTTGTATATGAGGATGGGGAAATAGATCTATGTGCATATATTTATAGGTTTAGTATTAAGGTAGCAGATGGACATTGGGCTTCCACTCAAGTACTCCCTCAATGCAAGAACACTTTGTTCTGTTAAACTGGCATTGCATGATGCTCAGCTTCCCAACACAATCGCTGAAGACAAAGTGGGTGCCTAAGCAAATGTGGTGAAGAAAGCTGATGGTACCAGGTTATCAAAAGATATAGTGTCTGGGGTCTTAAAGGCTTGAAGATAAACAAGTGGCCATCTAGTTGAGAAGCAACAAAGCCCACATGGAAGAAGCACACTAGCCTATGTGATCATGAGGTGTGGATGGGATCAGGGATCAGGTATCAAAGAAAAAAAATCATATCATTGTAAATGAGGGGAAGTGCAGAGTGGAGACCCAAAGCCCATTTGTAGGCAACTCGACATCCCTTTACAGAAGGGTCATGGGGAGGAGACTAGCCAGTCAGGGTGCAGTATAGCAACGAGGAAACATTCAACTTTCCTCTAGTTCTTCTTTTTTTTTTTACTGTGCAACCCACTTCAGTGCCTGAAGCCTACAGGGTAAAGCCAGGCAATGGTTCCGGTGACAGTTTGCTTTCGCATCGACACTGTGAGAGGCCCATGGATCAGACCTGCCACAAATCCAAACCCATGCACTCCTCTACCTCTTTAATGCTTCTTCCCTCCCACTATCATGATCCCAGTTCTACCTTACAAATTCTGTGAGACCAGAGGATGTACACTGGTACAGATAAGAACTGGAAATGCAGGACAGATAAACTCCTCAGCACCAATAATAAGAGTAGGAGGGTAAGGAGAATATGGGGTAGAAAGGGGGAACCGATCACAAGGATCTACATATAACCCCCTCCCTGGGGCACGGACAACAAAAAAGTGGGTGATGGGAGACATCAGACAGTGTAAGATATGACAAAACAATAATGATTTCTAAATTATCAAGGGTATGGGGAGGGAAGGGAAAAATGAGGAGCTGATTTCACGGGCTCAAGTAGAAAGAAAATGTTTTGAGAATGATGATGGCAACAAATGTATAAATGTGCTTGACACGATGGATGTTTGTATGGATTGTGATGAGTTATACGAGCCCCCAATAAAATGATTTTTAAAAAGCAAAAAGAGTGTTTCTTAGAAACAAGATGGTGAGACTTGGCCACATATACTTTCAATATTTCCTGGAGGGAAGAGTTTCTGGCGAAAAACATCATACTTTGTAAACTGAGGGTAAATACTATCTAAAAAATAAAGGACACTCAGTTACGTGGACTCACACGATTGACTCAAAGACAGGAATGACTGTGAGGAAGATCCAAGACTAGGCAGTGAATTGTAACCTTTGGCAAAAAGGTGCCTGGAATTTTAGCCACGAGAATGTCACTGGGCCTGGATGCAGTAGAATATAGTTTCAAGGAACAGCAAGGTGGGTTAGCATAACACAATCCACCAAGAGTATGTTCTACATCTTACTTCGTGGAGTAGGGAGTCGAGCCTTAAAAGCTTGTATGTAGTCATCTAAGGTGCAATGACTGGTCTCCCCGTGTTCCGAGTAAAGAATGAAGAACGCTGAAAATGCCTGGAAGCAACTAGTCTCGTGGACTAATGGACCACGTCAGCACCAGTCTCCATCAGCCTGAGATCAGAACTAGATGGTGCCCAGTAACCACTACTCACAGTTCTGAAAAGAGTCACATTAAAAGGTCCTTGGATAGAGTGGGAGCAAAATGTGGAAGAAAATTCAAAATAATAGAAAAGACTAGACTTACTGGTTCACATGAACTGATAAAACGGCTGAGACTACGGTCTTCAGTCACCCTTCATGTCTTGAAATGAACTCACCATATCTTTTGGGGAGCCTTAATTCAGTCCATAACAAATATGGTGGTAATCTTAATATTGATTGGTTAGTTAGAATGTGTGTGTGTGCTTTCCCAGGAAGACTCTAGTAAGCATGCTTTCCTTCTTCCTGTTCCATTTATAAGGAGACAATAATGGTAAATTTGGATTGACAGTGCCATAGTCATTATTACTAACTTAAGGTCTGTGAAATATCATTGGATCCCAGTTCTGTCACGTACTAGACATACGTAGACTTTTATAAACATTCAAACCTTATAGAGCCTTATTTTCCTCACCCCAAAATAGAGATGATAACATCTTTAACTAAAGATTGTTGTATGGATTGAAGAAAAATATGTAAAACACTAGACATGATGCTTTGTGCATAGTAGATACTGTGTAGCTTATGATTATTTTGATTATAATAAGATGATGATCGTATTAACTCCTTTCTTTCGAATTCCTCTGTCATAACCACCTGACAAAATTCTTACTCATAGAAATCTTATACTTTTCTTTCATGCCTGTTCCAAACAGCCATCACTGGCCTCATTTGAAATTCAGGACCACAAATCTCAAGTAATCCCTGGGTATTGGGAGCAGCCACTTTCTTAGTAAGAACCAAGCCCTGGGTCTCCCTGTCCCTATCCTTAACATGTCTTTCTGCTTCTTAACTTTTAGCTGATGATTATTTATATCATTGGAGAAATAGGAGAAAAAACCAAGATGATAATTTTTACACTCTTCTATTATCTCACTTTTTAATCTCCTTGTGTTTGTGCCTCAATGTTTTCCTTCTCCTCCTGTTTCAATGGCGAAATATTCTTCTTACTGAGATAAACTGTCCACCTAGTGAACTGGAGTCCATCGTCTCTTAAGAACTTCGTTTTCACACTTTCTAATCTCTTTCCTGCGTCACATTTGTTCCCCGTCTACAGGCTCATTACCGTCAGCCTAAAAGGTATACATGTCGCAGTTTAAAACAGCAACACTAAGCACACCCTTCCCTGACCTCTCATTGTCCTCCCCCTACCAGTCTTTTTCTTTGATCTCATTAAATCTAAGCTCCTTGAAAAATTTGATTATTCTTGTTGTTTCACTTACCCCTCTCTCATTTTTACATGATTCTAAAATATCAGGCTTTTGTCCATTCTTTGTCCCCAAATTGCAATTGTCTACATCATCAAAACTAATGGTCAATTCTTAGTCCTCATCTTACCCGGTCTATTGGCAGCATTTGATACAAATAGTTATTTCTTCCTTCTTAAAACACTTCCTGGGGCACCATTCTCTTTTTATTTTCTCAGCTCACTCTCTGACCTTTCTTCCTCTCCTTGGCTGACCTTTTCTCAGCTGAACACCAGATTGCCCTGCAGCTCTGTTCTGTAGTCTGGTCTTTATCTTCACTCACAAGGTGATGGCATTCAGTCCCAAGGCTTCTCCACAGTGACGATACAGCATTTTTCTATCTTTGCCCTGTTCTCATATTTCCAACTGATTACTTGACATTTCCAGTGAGATGCCTATTAAACATTTCAAACTTACCAGGCTCCTCAAATCAAAGTTTTCTTTCTTGATAAGTGGCAATTTTAGCTTTTGAGTTGTTTAGATGAAAAAAATCTCCAATCATCCTTCACTCCTCTCCTTCTTTTATACTTCAAATCTTATCAGGTAGACCTTGGAGATATGTAAATTAACAACTTCTTACCAATTCTCCAGCCTGGTCACCAACATCTTCCTACACATGGTCCTTCTGCTTCTACGCTTACTCCTTGCGAGATTCTTCTTCTTTTGATTGCGTTCTTCTCCACAGCAGCCAGACTAATCCTTCAAAAACATTCTGCTCAGAATCTTATCATTCAGAGTAAAATCTGAGTTCTTAGATCTGCAATACCAGATGTATAATCATCCCTCAATAAACTCTCTCTTCCTCTTCTCATACACCCACTTTTGTTCTGTTGGCTCCAGATATATTGACAACTTGACTCTTTCTTGAGTTCTCCAAATAATCTCCCTCCTCGAATATTTTTACCCAGAAGCACCTTCCTCCAGATATCACATGGCTCCCTGTTTGACTTCCTCCAAGCCTTTGCTTGAAAGTTCTGTGGTGGTTAATGGTATGTATTGACTTGGCTCAATAGACCATGATTCTCGGTGGCTTGGCATATATATGTAATCAATCTCATTTTTGTAATCTGATATTAGCAGCCAATCAGTTGGGAGGAAAGTTCCTTTGGAGGTGTGGCCTGTATCCTATATATGGGGATACTCTGGCAGAGCTCATTCTTTCTCAGTTCTGCATTTGATCCTGAGTGTGTCTCATTCTTCTCTGACTTTCAGTTCTTGGGATATGAACATGCAGCCTTCAATGAGATCTATAGATTTCAGAACTGTCAGCATCCACTTATCCAGCGTACTGGTACTTAGTCTTCAGACTTTGGGTTTGTTAGCTACTCAAACCACAAATGTGAGGAGAAGCCTCCAGTCTGCTGTGATACCCATGGATTTGGAATTTGTCATCCTGTGCAATTGTATGAGCCATTTCCTTGAAATAATTCCTCTATGTATTTTATTCATTGTTTGATTAATTGTACTGGAAGACGAGCCCCTCAGACCAGAGGCACTTGAAATACCACCAAGGGAGTGTTGTCTCTTCAAAGTAGAATCAACTTTAATAATGTGCATAGAGTAAAGCTTTCAGGACTGAAGTGGCATGACTCAAAATGAGAAGAAACAGCTATAAACGATGATTACTAATTAGAAAGTATAATGTACAAAGTAGGAGTCTAGGACAATTGGAAGTCGACAAGAGAGAAATAAAACAACACATAAAGATCAATATCCTGGGCATTAGTGAGCTGAAATGACCTGGGATTGGTCATTTTGAATAGTTCAATCACATGGTTGGTATGCTGGCAATGACAACTTGAGGAGGAATGTTATCACATTCATTGTCACGATGAACATTTAAAATCTATCCTGAATATCACACTGATGAAACATACAGCTTTATTTTGGTTCTTTAATGCTTCCTCCCCACCCCATTATCATGACCCTAATTCTACTTACAAATCTGGCTAGACCGGAGCATGTACCTGGGTACAGATAAGAGTTGGAAACACAGGGAATACAGGACAGATAAACTGCTTGGGACCAATATTAAGAGTAGCCATACCAGGAGGATAAGGGGGAGGTGGGGGGAGAAAGGGGAAACTGATCACAATGACCTACCTACAACCCCCTTCCAGGGGGATGGACAACAGCAAAGGAGGTAAAGGGAGACATCCGACAGTGCAAGACATGAAAAAATAATAATAATTCATAAATTATAAAGGGCTCATGAGGGAGGGAGGGGAAGGGAGGGAGAAAATGTGGAGCTGATACCAAGGGCTCAAGTATAAAGAAAATGTTTTGAGAATGATGATGGCAACAAATGTACAAATGTGCTTGACACAATGGATGTTGTATGGATTGTGATTAGAATTGTACGAGCCCCAATAAAATGATAAAAAAAAAATCTATTCTGAAGTACTGTGTTGTCAATGCTAGTATAATATCCAGTAGCTACTAAAGCCAAAGATGAAGATCAGGCATACAATCAAGATGTATTAATAATTAGTGGTGATTGTAAAGTAAAAGGTGGAAACAAAGTAGAAAGATCAGAAGTTGCAAAATATGGCCTTGGAGATAGAAATGAGATCTGAGATCAGAGATCACATGATAGAATCTTGCAAGACCAACAACTTAATCATGGCAAAAGCATTTCCACAGCATAAATGGTGGCTATGGGTTCCACATAGA